AAAAAAAACGTTTTTTTAATCTTAAAAAGGCTCGCTCTCTCTCTTTTTGTAGTTGTACTGTATAAAAAAGAGTCAAAAATGAATCCAGATTTTGCCATCAAGGTTTCTCAGGCTTTTATTTTTTCCTTCTATTTTGAATGACAAGAAAAGTACGAATAAAAACTTATTTTTATGTCCRATTCTCTATTAATTGTACTWTTTTTCCCTGAAAATTCTATATAATAAATATCATATTAACCTCGCTTGCTCGAGCCGTACGGGAAGTTATGGAACCTCATTTTTTCCACTTTTTATGGCCTATAAGTCAGTGGAAAAGAAAGCGGCCCATAACTTCCCGTACGGACCTCGCGCTCGGTTAATAAGATATTATTATTTGAGCGATGTTATTGTAAAAGGCACTTAAGATGATAAGGTCCCTTTTGTTCTCGAATCTCTACGCTACAGAGCAATGATCGCGGGCGAGTTCTTTAGGGCCTATTTGCTTTGACAACACTCATGTAGTCTTGCCACAATATAGCGCAAGCGATGTGATGTCTTGGTGAAATGCAGTAACCCTAACCCTAGCCTCACCTCTTTGCTATTGACGGGAAAATTCTGGCGCGTGGCGATTTCCCATCTATCCTTTCAATTCAGTACAACCAAGCCGCCAGCCATGGATAACACCTGATCATAAAATCAACCTTGAAGGTGCCTATTAAGTTGGAGTCCAGAGCTCTGGATTAGAGCAAATCAAAGCGTCAGTGCGGCGGTCAAAACGCACATTCTCTACGTAGATTGGCTTCCAAAATACTGAGCTGTCTGGATGTTGTTTTTGTTGTTGTTGTTTTTTTTTTTTACTGGCCTTCATGAGCGATGTTATTGTAAAGGCACTTAAGCTGATAAGGTCCCTTTTGTTCTGGACTTTCTACGCTATTATATTTGCTTTGACAACACTCATTTATTTTTATTTCATTGTTCTCCCTTTTTCTTTGCCCAAGACAGTCATCTAGAAGCTAGAAACACGAAGGACACTTATTTGACCAAATGTCATCAATTTTACATCCTGACAGCATTATTATATAAGCACACATGATAGAACTATTTTCGACAGGTTTCTTCCCGAGTCATCAAGATGGTTGCTGACCCAGGGTAAAGAAGATAAAAGCAAAACATATTTCATTAAGATTGCACGTGTCAACCGCAAAGAGATGCCGCCAAATCCAATTGCAATCATGGAAGAAAAACAACGTGTTGGTGATATACGGGATTTGTTTCGTTCCTGGAAAATGGCTCGAATAACTCTCATTAACTGGTTTTGTTGGTAAGACTTTTTTAATCTAAATTAAAAAAATTCCAAAGCKACACTGTTCAAATCTCATTTAACTAATAGTACTTTCTTTGATCTAGAACTTCAATTTCAGCTGGAAAYCTTTTATTACAACACCCGCAGATCGGGTGACATTACAGATATTGCCGAATCTGGTGAAGTCCGGCATCCGTGTTTTCCGTCTAGTTTGTGTTAAGATACATAGTGAATCCCTTCAACKGAAATTGAACACCCATGACCTCTGCGAATCCGGTGCAGTGCTCCGGGCTGACCCAATGAAATGACAACTCGCCAACATAGTTGGATTCATAGCATCGCAGAGTTCATGGTCCAGATTCCCGTCRATGCCCGAATTTCAATGCAACGATCATTGTTCCTTAGATATTAATTCACTGAAGTTGATACTAAAAATTCATCATTTTACGGTGTTAAATTCATCTTTTTACGTTTCTTTAGAAGCACCGACGCAGCTCTCACACTAGTTTACCGCTAGTGGCCACCATTTTGTCCGAGTAAAAATTAGAATTTGCATGTGATTYCCAAGATTAAAATCGTCTCAGAGCGATTATTCCCCCCCCTGATATCATCTACTGTTATGAAATTATCATCTAGTTTTAAGAAGTCAATGTGGTTCCATAGGGTAGTGGTAGCAATGGTGTACTATGGAGTATCATTTGGTTCTGGAAGTTTTGGTGGTAATCGTTATCTCGTGTTCTTCTTGGTSTCAATTATTGAGATTCCATCACACTACTTCGCTATAAAATATATGGATAGGTATGAAAATTTGATACTTTGTAATTTGAATCATCATATTTTAGATTGATTTTATTTACTTGTTTGGAAGGTTTGGTCGAAAGAAAGGTGTTTTRACTGGACTATTCGCAGCGTCCCTTGCATCAATCGGTGCGGTTCTTCTTCAAAGGGATCGATCACAAACAGGTTAAAGTTATTTTCCGGCACAGATATAGTGTAAACTTGAAGCTTTCATACGGCTGATTTTATGTTTGTGACTTGTTGTATCAAGTGTGATATCAAATCAGCTTAATAACGTATCTGCAGACACACGGCACTGAACGCAGCAAAAACATTTAGATATTGCAGATATGTTCGTCATAGTAAAAGAGAAAAACTTTCTCTACAATCTTTTTTGGRTTTAAAAGTTCGTGCTTTAGCAAAAATAATTTMTCAWGCAAAATAGAGTTCTTCTGACCTTCTGACAGAAACTAAGATGTTGTGAAGTTTCTCTTGAATTGAAAGAGACAAAAAAGCATACAGCTCTTTTCATAGAAACATGACTACTCTAAGCAAGAAATTCAAAACAAAACATTTATACATATTCAAGACAATTAGTATAAGTTTTAATTCTTATACATCAATCAAAATG